TCTTCTGGCAAGAACACATTTTAAACTAATTCTTTAAAGGGAATTTACAAAATAGTCCAGATTCATGTAGATTAAGTGCATGACTTTGTCCTGCAATTATATGGAGAAACTTTTAAATCACTTCATTTAATTAAATCCTGAAAAGGCCAATGGAGTGATTCAAATCTCACATTAGTCTGTTTGACTAATTTGATCATATTATACATAACACTAAGTACCTCATATCAAAATGAGTTAACGTTTCTCATGTCACTTACTAAAGAAATAAAAATGACACACACTGCTGGTGGTTCCTCAGGGGTTTTGATGTTCTGCTGAATGAGTGAGTTTATGGTTCATTCACTGTACTTTAGTAATAATATTTTAGCAGGTCTGCCTACTGTTCTGTTAAATTATCAAATCGTTACTGGTGTATTTGTCAAATTTATCATGAATATTGCTGAAAACAAATGAACATGCACAGTTTGTGAGCAAGATGATTATATGGCTACATATATTTACATATATATATATACATATTCATACACGTTTACACATTCTAGTAGAGTATTTGCATATGTGCCATTTACTGAACATGAAAATGAGGATACATATCGTACAAAAAACCACAGGCCAAAAGTGCTGAACACGAAGATCTTGATCATTATCAGGCTGAGCAGATTTTTGCTAAGATGCATCACCTTTATCTTACATCTACACATGACTTTCCATGGTTTCGAGAAGAACGACCCTTTATGTAATATGTAAAGAGAATTTCATGATAAATGCTAAACGCTGAAAACATTGTATAAATAATCTCACCATATCACCAGATCAATGACAGATGAAAATAGATGTTTGATAATGATTACAGGATGTTTTTTTTTTTTTACAGCGCTATCTAAACCACTATGAAAATATATAATACTTATGTGGGATCTTGATAGAAAAATAATTGAATTGAATATTTAGGCAATACAGTACTCACATCTAAATAAGTGAAATACATATTAATATTCTATAGAAAAGAAATATTAGAATTATTTAAATGGTTATTTTCTACATTTTATTTATCTAAACGTATTATTATTAATAATAGTTTTTAATTATTAAAGTTATATAGTATTATTAAAGTTGTGACATTTGGATGTTAAATATTTAATACTTATAATATTTTACATTGTAAATAATTACATGTGAAATTAAGAATAATACATATTAAATAATACATTTAATATTTGTATAATAAATTATATTTGCATCAGGATTTCATGACACATATTCATATTTGAATTAAATATTGATCTGTTAAGTGTTCTTTTTGTTAATGAATGATGCATGAAGTTATCACAAAAATTATTTCCATTAGGTACTACAACACATTTCCATTCTAGTTTAATATTTGTATATTGAAAACCCATGTCAGCGCATGTACTTTTTTTTTTACATGCAATTTTACCTTTGTAAAAATGCTGACTGTGGAAAATGAATTTGTAAAACTCATGTAATTGATGAATTACAGTCATTCTGTGCTTTGGACATAAAGAATGCAATGCAGATATTACTTTACACAATATGTTACACAAGTTGAAAATAATTAAAAGACATTTCTTGCAATGGGCATCAGCAAAAAAACTGCTCTGTCTGAAGATGTGCTGTAAATTTATGACACCTGTATTTTATCTTCTCACGATCTCTGCTTGCAAAAAGCATGCAAACCAGTATAGCAAATGTGATTCTCCGTGTGGGCTTTGAAGAGGAGGGGGACTGCAGTATATTTCCTTATCAAACCACAGATCTGAGTTTCTATCTAGCATCACGTCCGAAAATCATTTAAATATTTGGTGCAGACTCGGATTGACTCAGACATCTGTAACAACTCGTTTTTAAAGCTTGAAGATCAGCTTCAGATCAGAAACCATGAGAGCATCTTCTTTGTGTCTGGTGTTCGGGCTGGTCCTGCTGATGGCCTGGACTTCTGAGGCTCAACGTAAGTTCTCTTGAAGTACAGTTTTGCTTCTGACTAAATTATTATTTATGTAAGACATGCAGTTGTACATAATGTTTAAGTGATTAAAATGGATCAAATTAGAAACAAAAGAATTTTACAGAATCTTACATTAAGAGGAACCTTTGCATGTTCGTCAATGAACTTTGCATTCTCCAGTAAGCTAAAAATATACATAGAGAGCTTGAAAGAACCCAGAAACAAACCGATATGCTGATTAACCAGCCAGATATGGCCCTTCACGGAACCTAAAGTTCTAGAAAGGACCTTTATTTTGAAGGATGAATAATATCAAAATAATATTTGGTTGGATATGATCAATTTCATGGTTCTGTCCTAAAACTAGATGATGTATTTTATCTCCCCAACAGCTGCTGCTCCTGCAGTCCCTGAGAGGTGTTGCTTCAATTTTGTCGACTTTCAAATTCCAGAGAAAAAAATTGTGAGTGCTGTGAAGACAAGTTCACATTGCCCTTCCCGACACCTAAAACCGAATTTTGTGTGAAACCAGAAGAGGCTTGGATAAAGACTTATATGGAGAAGCAGCTTAAGAAATAAAAACACGATACATTATGCACAAAATAATACTGTTTCTGCTTTATACAACTGTCCTTTCTTAAGAAATGCATTTTTGCATCTGCTGAACCTGAATTCAACTCTTTTCATTGGTACCACTTTACAATAAGGTTCATTAATTAACTACTTTAGTTAACATGAACTAAGAATGAACAATACCTCTACAGCATTTATTCATCTTAGTTCATGTTAATTTCAACATTTATGGAACCTTTTTGTAAAGTGTTACCTTTTCATTTAGCATCTATGCAAATAAATATTAAAATGCAATGAGATTACCTGGTGTCAGACTCATTTGAATGTGTGCATATTCATGTAGGCCTATTAAATTAGCATAAATGGTAGAAAAGATGGTATAACTCTCATCAAGATAACATCTCATGTTGAATAATGTACAGTTAGGCAGAAAGAATATAAGACGAAGATAACAAAAACAATCAGAAATTAAAGTATACGTATACAAATAAAAATAAATACAAATCTGAAAAAGATATAGTTTCTGATTACATACGGCATATAGGTATTCTTTGTTGCCACACACACACACACAATTATTACAAAGATGCCATTCTATTCTTAAGATGACATATATATATATATACAGTATATATATATATATCAGTATATCAGCTTAGAAATAGAATGGCATCTTTGTAATGATTTTTCTATTAAAACAACATACTAGAAGATTTGTGTGAGGTTGTAGGTCCAGGAAACTCAGTAAAGGTGAGTGTTTGAAACATCCGAGTTTCTATAACATCATATTGGGAAAATATTTAAAGCATGAAGCAGCCTCTAATTCATTCAGATTTCTCCAAAAACTCATCCTCAAAGCCTGCAGATCAACTTCTGATCAGACACCATGAGAACATCTTGTGTTCTGGTGTTTGGACTGGACTTCTGAAACTCAAAGTAGGTTCTCTTGTAGTCTGAATTATTTATTTACATATTTACAAAGGTGTACACAATTTAATACAAGGATACAGTTGTTCTGCAGAGAAATCACTCATATTTAGTGTAAAATCTGTTTTCTGAAGAATAATGCTTTTTTATCAGCTTCTCCAATCTCTCTCAATCTTTTCAAATTCCACACCTTATTTTTAAATATATTGTGTCACAGAAATTCAAACAAACATATTAAATGTTAACTTTTTTCCTCGACATCTAGAGGCAAATTTTGTCTGAAAGTAGACGTTGCTCAGAGAAAGAGAGAAACGTGAGCTTTTTCATTGAAAATGCAACAGTTGTATCCAAAATTATAATGTTCATTGTTCAGAAACATTTCCTTAATAAATGCGATTTTGTTCCAGATTGATTCATTTTTATGTAACTCTAAAATATATCAAATAAATAAAAATAAATAAATTCCAATGATACTGGAATATGATATTACAAAAAAGAAAAAAAAAAGAAACCTTTTTCTTTTTTTATATCATACCAGATGAGGCTTATATTTTATTTCCTCTTCAATACAGAAAGATATTAGGCCAATAAAAACCTCAAAAAACTTTTTGCAGAAATTGAACCAAGTCTATGCTCAAAAATATTGAAATGCACAGAGATTACCTGGTGTCTCGACATGATTTTATATCAAATACTTATAAGAAAAAACGACATGACCATTATCAGCATAACATCTCATGTTTAATAATGTACAGTTAGCCAGAAAGAATAACAGATGAAGATAAAATGTGAAGAAAAACAATCGGAAATTGAAAACCGTATACATATACAACAAAATAATAAGAAAACAAACATGTCTAGAGCCATGTTCAGGTCTACTACTTAAAGTGTAGAGTGTTTAAAGAAAAGTTTTTTTCTTTTTCCCAGAATACTGTTCTTCTAAAAACCGTAAACTAAACATACTTCAGAGCATCTGTGTGGTTTTTAGTGATCCACAACAGGAAGAACGGAGTGTTCAAACTTGCATAATGACAAACCTGCAAAATATATAATAGTGTGCGATCACATGAGGCATACAGGGACTCTTTATTGCCCTTTGCACTGAGAGTTTTGTGCACGTTGCTGTCTATACGCTGTTTGGCATGTGTTAGACCTGAAGCCTGTTTGTTATAAATCTAAACTATCCAACAGAAACAAAGAGCGCTTCCACTCTCATTTACATTTAGAATGTAAAGTGAGTTTATTATAAAGGGTAATCTGGGTAAGTATGGCTAAAATAACATCTGTTTAGATATACTGAACTCACTCAGGTCAAAAGTGACCACCAAGCCCTGATCTAGGACCAGCCCCAACAACTAAAAATCCAAGTCCCGATTATTAAAATGAAACAAACTGGTCTCAGATCAGTTTAGGAATTGATTGAGGGACATCTAACATAATCGGTTCACAATTAAAAAAAAGAGAACAAAAAAACATGAGCAGACAAATGCCGAAAGAGTCTGCAATTTTAAGGCAGAATGTTCGAGCAACATCCTATAATATTATTGTAATTATTTTATATCCATCCATATCAAAAATGACTATTGTTATTGATATTGACAACCATGCCATTTTGTATAACACCATTTATGGTAGGGACACAATTATCTACGTACACAGCCAGCGAATGGGTTTAAACACATGGAAAACTGTTAAAAGTCATAATTTAGCTGTGCAATAATGTTAAAACCGGTCTTCAAATGTTTATGACCCCAAAGAAACACACAACATCATGTCTCACACACCAGCAGAAACCAAAAAAACAAACCATTTATCCATAGCTTTGCTTTTCAACGCATACATGCTTAGCTCTGTAGTAACTCTGCACTTGCTTCTGTCTGTCTGTCTCATTCTCCATCACACCCATACGAACCTACCATAAGACCATCTTAACACTAAGATGTGTGAATGTGGACAGCAGAGTTGAACATGTCTGTCTGTACAGTCAGAAATTATTACAAACATGAAGTATTGTTTGTAATAACCACAATTTAAAGTTTCAAAGGAATGTTGGTCAATATTCTCATTCTAATCGAAAGGTCGTGAACAAACACTTTGACATACTGGGCATGTGGTGCAATATAATAGTCAAACAGAAGAGGGCGATAAAGTCGTGTGTGGATGTGACTATAAAAATATCCTACATTTCATTCATGTTGCAATGGAATGTGCAGTAAACTGTACAGTAGCACAGCACTCCAGCATGCGTTTCTTATGGGGTCATAAAACATCAGAGCATCAAAAGAGATGCAAGGAGTTTCTGGTTTTATAAGGAATGGAGCTTCATGATGTCTTTAAAAGATTTTTCCTTTTTTCTTGTTCTTTTCCATTGTCCTGAGAAAAAAAAAAAGACAAACATTAGTGAAAAAATGGATTAAAATAATAAATTGTTAGTTATGGTTACTGTAAATTTCAATATTTTTCCATGACCTCTATTTAAATTTTTAATGATTGATACTATTATTTTATGCCACTGCATGTTATGTATACTGATTGCAATACTATACACTACTATTCAGTAGTTTAAGGTCAGGATTTAGTTTTTTGTATTTTGTTTTTTTTTATTTATTTATTTGATTTTTTATTTTGTTGGAAAGAAAATCATACTCAGCAAGGAGACCAAAAGTGACTGTAACGACTTTTATAATGTTACAAAAACTATTTTAAATAATTGCTGCTCTTTTGAAATTTCTATCAAAAATCCTGGAGGGGAAAAAAAAACTACAGACCACAAACGTTTGAACGGTAGTGCATGTATAACATACCAATTAAAAAATGATAACTAAAATTAAGTTCAAAACAAACCACAATATGCAGAATTATCTACAATATCTCTTATATAATTTATTAAACCATACATTGTATCAAATTGAAATACAAAATATTAATGTAAAAAAATTAATTTCAAATACACTAAAATAACTAAATGATTTTTTTTTTTTTTAAAAACTAAAACTTTTTTTTCAGGTT